GAAAAAATTTTATATGTTTTAGCATAAAATTTTTTTCTAATCGATTTACAATCAGCTTAATTTAATAAAATGAAAAGAAGAAAAAAAAACAGTCTTAGGTTTTTTATATAAAATTTATTGCAATAATTAGTTGTTTTACGACAGTTCGAAAATTAGGCTGACCCTCAAAACAAGAAAGCGCACTGCAAATGCAATAACAATGCAATATTATATTGCTCATAAATGCAGTTTTACTCTTCGCCACTTCCGTTAAATTACTTAAATCAAATTACTTAAATCATCCACTTAATTAGGCACAATGCCTCAGCAGTGCGCAATGCACGCCACAAACACAGGCACAACCACAAATGAAGGCGTCATCAACCAACAAAAAAAAAAAAAAAATAAAAAATAAAAAAAATTATGAAAAATTCGCTGACATCTTCCTAAACACTCGTAAGTTATGCAAGTGTGTCTGTGAGTGTATTTATTATAAGCATTAAGTCGGCAGTAAATCGTATAATCCCCGGTATAACGGGGAACTAGTACATGTACGCTTTAACGCTTTAATGTCATAATAGAGCGCACTTAGAACCCAGTAAATAAACACTTCAACTGATGCGTGGTCGGCATATGAGCTCATGCCTTGAAATACTCTCTTTCCATAACAACAACTTGTTTTGAAACAACCGCACGCCACTTTGTCATAGTTCGAACTGCCAGTGTATTTCCACTTCAAAATGGACTACTTCCGAGTGTAATGCGACGTGTGTAAAGTTACCTACTACACACAAATATACATACATATATACATGTATGCGTCACAGTGATATCTTGTTATATTATTTAATTTATTTTATTTTTTTTTGCAAAATTTCTTGTACTTGCATATAGCTGCAGTTCGTGGCTGCCGCATCACATTCCCCTCAGCGCGTTCGCGCGTAACCCGAACGCGCCGCCTAACCGGCCGGCATTGCCGCGTTTAATTCGCTCATTGCGGCGGCTTTTGCATTGCGCGCATCGAAAATAGATTTGCGCTTGGAATGCGCTCGCCAGTTTTGCAGTAACACTCGGCCAGCGTTGAACGCGCGACGCAAACGACTCATATTGCACTCAAGTGCCCAGCAAAGTATATTGAAGTGTATTGAAGTGGAAAGGAATTTAGAAAAACTTACAGAAAAAAAGTAAAACAAAAATCTGAAAATAGTGAAAAGCGCTTAGACTTGCATTAGCTGAAAAATGTGAGTGCCGCTGCAAATTTAAAGCAGAAGTAATTGAAAATCAATTTTGAAAACGTGCAAAGCACCGTGCTCTTTTGCCTTTGGAGGCAAACGTTATTTACGGAAATAGCATCTGGAGTATTTGAGTGCACATACTTGTGGCTCTTCATTTTCGTGTGCGGCTCACTGCAACTTGCAATTTTCAAGTTGCCATTTTGTACTTTTTGYGATTTTCGGTTTAAAATACTGGATATTAGCTGAGGTAGATTGAACTTTAGACCTTCAAGCAGACTTTTTCTATTGAAAAAGGTGTTTTTCGGCAAGCAGCTGTTAAGAAAAATTTTAGATAATACATGAAGTATAGTGTTTGTGTATGTGGACGCAAATGGGAAAATTAGAGAAAATAGCATTTTTTTTTAATATAATATTCAAAATATATGTTTAAATCATTAATAACAAATTTTGTTCGAGAATAAACTTTTATTAATGTTTGAATAGCGAAACGAAATTTATTGGTAAATTGGCGCATGTTCTGAATAATATTTATAATTTCAATTTTATATTTATATAATTTTATTACATAGTATATACATTCTGTCTCTTATACACATCTAGATGTGTATAAGAGACAGGTATATACATTATTTACAATATATCAGAGCTGAAAATTTCGAAAAATTCCAATATTTACATATATAACATATGTATATAATTTCGAATTGTATTTATTATTACTCAGTTTGCCTTTTAAAGTTTTTTTTCTGGAAACCATCATCCGGTTATTTTTAGAAACTCGAAAAATGCACTTCGAATGTTTAATTGTTTTTGAACAAAAAGTACTTTGAAGAAAGTTACTGTAATAATGATTCATTGAAATTCGTGTTTCGAAGCAATTTTCGTGACTCTTAAGAAATAACCCGAATTAGAGCGCAAATTTGAACTCTACTCTTAAAATCAGTGAATACATTAAGAAAACTTTCATTTAACGCCAAAAAAATAACAATGAATCCATTTTCTGAATATAATGAGTAAAAATATTTCGCTTTTACATAAAATAGCACTTTATGGTAAAATTTCCCAAACTCTTTTCTGCGCTTAAAACCAGTCAATAAATTTTCTTCGAGTTGTAAAATAGTTGTAGGTTTTTCAAAAAAATTTTTTTTTCCAAAAAACGTACATTTACCAATTTTTTATCAAAAATTTTATTTTCCAATATTTTTTGCTCCAAATTTTTTTTCGAGTTTAGTTTTCCAAAAAATTTTTCTCCACTTAAATCAGCGTATTTATTTAAACATTTTGTTTTCCATGTAATACCGAAATAGTCATAGCATCAATTTTCTAAACAAGTTAATTAATTTTTTTTTATTTTAATAAAAAGTGGAAATTTATGATTAAATTAGTGAAATATCACTAAAGTATTTTGTCTTAAGTATTTTATAACTTTTTAAAAGATTTTTCGTAATACAATTGCTTATTTTTTAAGCCGGTTTTTCTTAAACCTTAACACTTTTCAAAGATAGTTAAATATTTAACATAAGAATTAAAGACTATTTATGCAGCGTGTATTTTTTTCAGTGCATTTTTTAGTAATAAATYTGATTCTCTGAATATAAACTTCGAGTAGTAATTGTAGGCATTCCTAAATATATTTTTTCTCATAAAGAGCCCTTTTTTCAAAAATTTCATTTTCCGAATTTTTTCACCCCAAAATTTTTTTCCTTTTTCAATTTTTTCTGAAATTTTTTTTTCAAAAGGATTTTTTTTCAAAATTTCCAAAATCGTTTCCCAAAAAGAAAAAAAATCCGAATTCCAAATTTCTTTTCCAAATATTTTTCCCACATTTTTTTCTATTTTTTTCTTTGTTTTGTAAGTTGTTTTTACTTATTATGTTTTCCAGAACAACTTTCGAAATAAATTAGTGAAAAATTCTTGGAAAAAAAATTATTATAGAATATTTTTTACAATATTTTATGCAAATATTTTCTTAGTGGCATTTTCAAGTCGTGATTTTACATTACTATTTGCAAATATTTCTAAGCTCAGCATTAAAACTAGCAAATATTTGTTATAAATATAAGCTATATATTTTTTAATTTGTCAAACAACATCTTCTCAACAGAAAAAAGTTCGAAAAAGAAAACAAAAATACTAAAAATGTACAATAATAGTTTTATTTTATTAAAATCTTTATTAATTTTTTATTTTCTTTTTATCTGCTTAACTTGCTAACTATTTATTAAATAAAATAAGATTTATTACTAAAAAAGAAAAATGATAACTATTTTAACTGCTATACTTAAGCTATTTGTGTTGCATGCCTTCATCGCTGTAAATACATATAAATGTCTCATTTCATCTCTTACAGCCGAAATCACCAGCAATTTCTAGACAAATTTTCACTTGAATTGCTTTATTGAAATCGGCTGTAAGTCTTGCATGTTCAAATTTCTCATAAATCGGCGAATGAAAATTATTTTTTCCTGCATTGAAAATTTCTAAACTCTTACCATCCATTATTTACATCTGTGTGTATATGTTCCCCATGAAGCTTACATCCCTTATGTATATATTTGAATGCCATTAAATTATTTATTTGTTTAGGCCATTGCATCCACTGAATTTATAGCATAACTTACGCTGTATGTCAGGCAAAAAAATACCAACTGCTTTATGYCTTTGTTCCTATCACACCTTGTACATATATTTTCGCCTACTTTTGGATTGCAGCAAAAGCTTTTCACATTTATTTGCTGTGAAAATTCTTCTCTCAACTGTTTCTGTTCTGTTTCATAACTATTTTACGCAAAATTTTGGGTTCATGCATAAGGAAAGATTGCAAAAAAAATAAAAACTTTAAAAAGCTATATCCTTTTGGCTCATTTTACTGTTTATCGTTTTCTTGTTCTCTACTGCATTGTTTCCATTTCTGGTTTTTATTACTTTTGTTTATTGTTTCTGCAAATCAAACTTAAATCTTAATTTGTATTAATTCACTTAAAACATTTTAACTCACACAATTAATACGAATGTTATAGGATTTAACGCACGATATCGAAGATTTACTGCAATCCCTATCGACGGTCGAAGATGGCATTGGTAATTTGCCGAGCGCTAGTTTGGATGGCATGCTGCAAGGATTGAAGGTATGTGTGAGTGTGGACAAATGCAAAGACAAGAGTCATGCAAACATATATAAATATGTATGTATATATATAAGAAAAACATATATATATACATATACATATTTGTGTATGCTCGCATATGTGTATAAATTCAACTGTAAGTAAAAGTTGCGTATACGCCGTGTACGATCTACAATGATTTACAAATATTGCTTTGCATTTGCTATTATATCTGTATGTGTATATATAAATTATAAGTTCAACAATGTCAATAAATTATAAGTCACACAATGCATACAAATCCCACCACCAACATACATATATATTATATACTAGCGCAATATACTAATTATTTAATTAATTGAATATTATGAAAAGCAGTTACAACCACAAATAATGTAGCTAACAAATACTTATGTATTCTAAGAATGAACCAAGCCCGATTAAGTGAATKCTGGCGTGTGTCGCAAAAAATTAGTAGCACAACCACATCATTCATATATCGAACATTTTATTTATTATTTATATTTTTTTATTATTTTTTAAATATTTTTTATACATTTTTTTTTTGGATGAAATGAAGAAATCATTCCTTTTCCCTGCACCCTGAAGTTTAGCATTTATAAATTGTGTTTCTATATAATTTAGAAGCGGTAGTACTAAAAACATATAAAGAAAAATATATTAGAATTACAATAAATACAGTGACTCACAAAATTTGTGATGGCATCAGTGTGATATAAAACTCCTAATTTAAGTTTTGATATTTTAAAATTTATTTAATTTTATTTATTTAAATGAAATGACTATTCAACTGATCAATTTTGTAAGTCGCTGTATTATAGTAATATACTCACTTTATGCCAATAATGAAGAAGAGGCTGTACTATTGAGACACAAATATATACAAAAATATAATTTTTTTAGAATATCAGATCAGTAATATCAGTTTTGCCAGCTTCAAAACTCCTCTTTTTAATTTTTTTTTAATAGAATAAAATTTATGAATATAAATCTTAGACTGCGATAATAGTTATAAGCCAAAAATTTTGGGTCTCGCGAGACAATAGAAAAATTTGTTGAACATTTAATTTTGTCGCCCACTCTACAAAGCTAGTAATAATAATGATTTAAATAGCGTTACTCTAGGTTGGAGCAGACGGAAATGTTTTACGAACTAATCTAAACAGCTTTACCCAAGATATTATGGGTATAAAAACAATTCGAAATCAGCGTTTTTTAAGAAGAATTTTTTAGACTTATTTGGTAGTCAGTTTTTGAGATATCCGAATGAAATTTAGTATTTAGGTGCATCTGGTTATTTTAATGATTATTTGTCGGTATCGGTCAGATCGTACAGTTATAACTTATATCTGCCATACAACCGATTATATTCAGATTTTTAAAACTTCGTAAATATTTCGCTGGCTCGAAACCAGTTTTAGACCCATAGTCTCTTAGTCAAAGTTGTTCACTTTGATCCGTAGAACATTTCCGTATATGTGAATTTATAGAAATATAATTGATTTGCTCTACTTTACATATACATTTTTTTTGTTTGATTTTTTCTGAGCTTAGCTTTGTAGCAAATCATTTGGTATTGTAGACATTTGAAGTAGTAAAAGTAGTTGGCTTACAACACATGAGTACACAGTCGTAAAAGATTATACAAATCACAAAGAAATATATCACATATACATATATATAAATTATAATAAAATATAAAATTTATGTGAAATTTAAATAGCAGTTTTGTCTCATAGTTTAAATTAAACTATTATAATGTTAATTCTACTTTTCAAGCTATCTATACTTATAGAATGGTGGATTATAATATACACACTATACTAAATAMACCACTTTTCTATAATAACAATAACTATTTCGTGCAGCTAATCCAAGAGAATCTGGAATACCAAGAAAAGGAAGCAACACGTCTACAAGAAATCGGACAAACACTACCAACAGATCCCGGCACTGAGCGTATACTCAACGAGATCAAAGACCGTATTGATCTGTTATTGCGCCGCACGCAGCAAGGCATCACAATGATAGCGGTAAATTTATAGTTTTATTTTATTATAAAGAACTTCAAGAATAAATAAAATTTTCAATTCCGTCACACAGAGCGCCATGCACGGTCAGAAGAAGCGCGAGGAGGAACTCAACGAATACCAAATGCATTTGATTGCATTGCAGGAATGGATTATGGAGGTATCGCAACAACTTAAAGACCTCGAACCGACACCCGAAGTCGCCGAGGATGAGGAACAGCTCAAATCGCAAGCCGAACGAAGTCAGCAATTGTTACGCACGCTCAAGGATAAACAACAATCACTAGAAGAGTTGGTCGAGAAGACGCGCTTACTGCAGCAACATGAAGATGTTGCACCAATGGCCTGTGATCTGATGGATCAGCTTGAGCTTATTATCACGCTGTTGCGGGAACAAATCACTGTCGCCACTACACGCATTTATACCATCGAGAAGACTATTGTGGAGCTGCGTAAAGCTAGACAGGAAGAAGAGCATCGCAAGCGCGTAGCAGCCGATGCTTTAATACAGCCACCAATCAGCGCACCACCATCCATCGAATCAAATGCTAGCACCATTGATTCAACACCTATGCCAGAGGAGGAAGTTAAACCAGTGCAAGTACAAGCGCTCGCAGTAGAAACCCAAACGTCCGAGAGTCTTGCCGCAGCACAACCTCAAGCAGTTGTCGAGACATACACAGTTGAGGCGCAAACTAGTTTCGCAGACCCAGTTGTGCCATTAGCGCCTTTTGTTGAAACCRCTGAGACTGCCATGCAGACGCAGAAGGAGCGTAAGCCTACCGAGAATATTTTAGTCACCTCAACCATACAAGCCGGTCAGGAAACTATACAGATTGATACCATACCGAATAAGGAGATACCTGAAGTGCCAGATGATGTAGAAATCGAAGCGCGTTATCACCAACAACCGCAAGGAGATGTGGATCGTGCCACCGAACTGGTATTGAAGAATGTACCGCAAGCATTCGAAACCACCTTTGTTGAACCCGACCAAACTACCACCGAAGTTGTGGTGGATGCAGATGGTACGAAACACATTATTGTAAAGAAAGTGACGCGCACACGGCAACAGGTGGTGCAGCATCAGCAAATTAGTTCAATTGCCACGGTCACGGATGCCGACGGTAATATACAAATACAATCCACCGGGCAATTGAATTTGGAAAATGTGCAAACTGCCGATACTAGAGGCGATGATCAACACGGCTATCAGACGGTGATAACGCAGCAAACACGCGGTACTGTCGTGGACGGTTCGGATCCGAATGCTGTGGTCGTTAAGGAGTTCGAAACGGAACCAACAATTGAACATATTGAACAATTGCAAACACCTGAGGGTCAAAAAACCGAAATGATTACCGTTGTTAGCGAAGGTCCAACAACCACGTCCACTTCGCAAAGCAGCATACGAGCGGTTGTGCAGCAAGTAACGCGCAAAATCATACGAAAGACCCGTAAGATTATTAAGCGCATCGTTGTAATCGATGGCGTGGAACATGTCACCGAAGAGGTGGTTGAAGAGCCAGAAGAAATCGAGGTCAGTGAAGAAGAGTTGCCGCCACAGGTGAATGTGAATATCATACGCACCGTCAATGGCAAAGTGGTGACCGAGGAAGAATTCGAACGACTGACAAAAGAACCAGGAGTGGTAATTGAAGAGGTTTCGACTGATTTGTTGGAACCGCAGTTGCCGCAGACAAGCGCACCTGTAGACGAGGCTGTGCCGTTAGTGCCAGACTCGACGCAGCCGCAACAGGTATTTGAAATTGAATCTTCTACTATAACTACTACAAAAACACAAACACAACCAACAACAACCAGTATTATAACAACAAGTACTACAGAAAGAACTACAACAACATCAACAGACCAAGCACCAGTAGAATTTGTTGATTTGTCCGCACCAAAAGTAGTTGAACAAAGAGTATTTGAAACCGTAGAAACTACTAGTACTAGCCCTGTTAATATTCCAGAGGACTTAAGTACGACACCCTATGAACAGACAATAGTAGTTGAAAAGGAAGTTTCACCAAGCGTACAAACCATCGAACCAACTAAACTCATAGAAAACATTCATGAGATTTGGCCRAAAGAACATCATTTGGTGCCAACTGATATCGATTTCTCTCATCACCGCGATGACGCAACTAAACCATTGGTTGAGACATATGATGTTAAAGCAACCACTGAGTCCCAACCAGTGGATACTGTTTGGCCAATTGATGAAGATACGGGTTATCCGGTTTCTCTGGAAGAATACAAATTCGAAAAAGTTGTAGAACCCAAGGAAAAGTCTAAAATAAGTGAACCAGAGCAAAAAACGGCAACAGTGACAACAACAACTATTACGACAGTCTCCACTGAGCAGTTATCACCTGAGAAAGTTGTCGACGTAACGGAAACCATTGARATATCAGCACCCGCTGCCTCTGATTTAGTTATGCCGGAATTGGTTCCATTTAAAGAGCCGGAGAGTATTGCAGTATTACCACCAGATGTTACCGAGCCAGTATCACATGTTTCTAAACCACAAGTATTAACATCGGTTAAAGAACCTGAAATTTCGTCAATTGAAACTCAAGAACCTACTCCCGTACCTTCTAAGCCAATAGTGTTAGAACCAGAACTACCATCCTCACAAGTCACCATTGTCAAGGACGTACCTGAAGAGACACCAACACAACCTGAAGAGAAGCTAGTCACAGATGTTGCTACAACCGCAGAAGAACCAGAAACAATTATTGTGGAAACACCTGCCAGTGAGCATGTTTCAATTACTTCTACCGAAACAGTTACTAAAACGCCACCGGARGACAGGTTTCTGCAACCGGTGCCTGCCGAAAAGTCCCAAATTGACATACGAGCTGCCACACAGCTCTTTATTTCTGGCGAAGTGTTGGCCACTGACAGTGATTCTCCACGTAAATCATTCACAGTGACTGCGCCGTCTATTGAGCAAACCGGCAGCGGTGTTCTCAAAGTTGTTATGACAACTGAGGAAGATGTTGACCCTAAACAATTGCCACCTAAAGTGAGTATGACAATTGTTGAGACCTCAACGGTGACCGAAACAGAGCGGGAGGATACTACATCGCGGGGCGATGAATTGAATCTCACACCTGCCGATGCCAAGCGAAGTCGTAAGAAAAAGAAAAGAAAGGAAGATGTCGAACCTGAATTTGAGCAAAGTGAAGACGAAGCTAAGGTTGAGAAATCTGAGGTGCCTGTGTCCAAAATTTCAGTGTCCGAAATCGACATTGAAACTCCTCGTGAAACAGGCTATGAAGCCGATGACGTATCCCTTTATGATTATGAAAATGAAGATTCTAGAAAAATGCGACATAAGCGGAAGAAGCAAAGATCAAGAATCCCTGAAGATGCAGAGTCACATGTGCCATCATCAGAAGCAACACCACGTGATATTGATACACCCAGTTTGGAATCTGAAGGTAAAGTTAGGCAAGAGGTGATTGCCGAGATTAGCCCAGAAAGTGAAGCGACCAGCATTGAAATAGATACTTCAGTAAAGGTTGTGGAGGAAGCGGTGGTATCGCCAGATTCTGATTCACTACGTGCACCTCTTATGGAGCTAGTAATTCCTACCGAGGTCATAGAAATTTCCTACGTGGAAGATGAACAGCAACAAACCACGCCACGTGAAGAACCGTCTGCACCTATCTATGAAGAACCCATCAAAGAGATCAAATCATCCCAGACATCTCCCGAACATAAGCCCAAACAAGAAGAAATATCCTTGCAGACAAGCATTGACGTTGTACCAGAAAGTCAAGAGACTGAGGCGCAGACGATCACAGTTGAAATAACGGATACTGAAATGCAAACAACACCACGTTCTGAGGAGCCAGTTACACAAATAGCTCTTGAGCCAAAACAAACTGAAGAAGAACAAGTACAAACTGAAGCACCTTATTCAGAACCTATGCCGCAAACAGAAGTACCCGCCAAGCCAGAAACCACAGAAATATCAAGCCAAACTATTGTGGTTACCACCATTGAAAAGAAACTGCAAACTACACCTAAGGAATCACCACGCTCACCTGAGGCAAGTACTCGCGATGTCGTTCAACCTTTAGTACACGAACTGGTCAAAGATTTGACTACAGATTTACCAACTGAAAAGGTTGAAAAATCTGACCAAGCTACTGGCACAGATTACACAGTTACTCATGAGACTTACGTACAAACTCTCACCCCAGAACCGGTGGATTATGTTCAACCTGCAAGCACACCCGAACCGGTAATTGAAGAATTCATAGAACCAGTGCATGTGGTTAAAGCACCTGCAGAGCAGCGTGATCAGCACACAACCACATTCGAGTTGACTCAAGTTGTAGACTCAACATCACAAACTACACCACGTGATGAACCTCAACCAGTAGAACAGCCTGTTTCTTTAGAACCCGTTACACTAACAGAAGATATTTCATCAACATTGACTTCCTTATCTGAGCCGTACAATATWGAAATTCAAACTTCAGTGGCAATACCGCCAGATACGGACAACTCAGAGATTGACCCGATTGTATATGAGCATACACAAACAATTGAACTGCCCAAACGGGATAAAAAGAAAAAGGATAAGAAAAATAAAAAGAAGAAACATACTGCTGAAGAAAAGCCAGACGAAGATGACTCTATTGTGGAGCAGTTGCCAGAGGTCAATGTGAATATCGAAATAGCAAAAGACATTGTACCTGAAGCAGGTGTGCTTGTAACTACTACTCAGCAAGTGTCAGAAGATACCGGTTTACGAACTATGGAAAAGAAGCCACAATTGGTGCAACTGCAAATCACTAAGACTACGGTTTATGAAGAATTCCCTGACTTGCCGCTACAGGTCAGCGAGCAGAGCAAGGTGAACCTTACCAGTCAGCAAGGTAGCAAACCACGTTCCAGACCTACTTCATCCGTCATGATTGAGGAAGTAAGCTCGCCAATAGAAGAAATTGTTGTGCCGCTAACTCCTGGTCCTGATAAAGATGTACCAGAAAGTGCCACTGAAAGCATTTGGTTAGCGGCAACAACAGCAGTTGGYATTGCCAAGGCGCCTAAAGATGCTTCACAGGCAATGATTATGTCTGAAAGTCTACAACACTATCCTGGATCACAAGTGAAACCAAAGGCTGTGGATGTTTGGGCTGAAACGAAGCAAGTTATCGGTGGACGCATTAGATCATTGAAAGAGTCCACACCTGAGCATAAACCACTTAGCAATGTATTGCATTTAGCCACCCTCTCCGACAAGATTACGGATATGCCTGTAGAAGTCCGTGCGCAGGAAGTCAATCAAGGCTTGCTCGATTTGGAGGTAGCTGTGAAACAAGGTGATCGCACGGTCATTGAAACTACCGTCATAACCGTTATTGAAAAAGTTTCAACCTGGCTCGAAACTGTTGAATATCGAGTGTACTTAATCAGACAAAACTCTGATGAAGGTCCTTCCGAGCAGAAGTTGGACGATTATAATCAGTTGAACGATGAACTCGGTACTATTAAGTCGAATGTCAACACACTCGAAAATCACTTGGAGAAAGCTGACCACTTGACTGGCCAAGAGGTGCAGCAGTGTGTTGATGCGCTCAAGGAGCATGTCAATGCAGTRGAAGAAGTGACCAAAGACAACCAGGCACAAGATACTAAAGAGTTGAATAAGTGGAATAATTTTGTCGTATTGATATATCGCACCACCACCATTTTGGAAGAACTTCAAGAACGTTAYGACACCATTGTGTCGCAAGACATAACACTGAATGGAAAATTGCGCAGTCTCGATGAATTGGAGGTACAGAACCGCGACGTACAAGCTAGTATCGCAGAGCTCACACAAAGTGCACGCGCATTCCAACGTAACTTCCCTGGCAAGAGGGTGCCGCACGACATCTACAATTCCTATGAAGTTTGTAAAAACATTGAAAACAACATACAGGCTGAACGCGACCGCTTAATGCAGTTGCAGTCCTTAGCCGAAGAGTATGAGCAAACTCTCAAGGAATTCACCAACATCACTGTGTTGGCCGACAAGATGGTCGAAAGTCCAATTATATCCAGCACATTGGAACAACTCAATAATGAAGTACAGAAACATCGCAAATTCTTTGTAAACCTAAGCCATTGCCGTGCCATGCTGGAGTCACTGGAAGAGAACATCGATACCGAGACGAGAGAGAAGCACGCCGAGTTGCACAAAGAACTCTATAATCGCGCGACTGTGCTTTTGGAAAAGGCGTCAGAACGTTCATCGAAATTAGTGCAAGCTGCTTCACGCTGGACGGTATTAGAGAAGGGCATGAAGGATGAACTGCAATGGTTACATGTGGCACAACAACGGGTGCCCGATTTGTCTGCTGTCACTTCTGCAGACTACGACCAATAYACTACGCTATATCAGTCCATCAGCAGCGACATCTCTAATCACTACTTGAAAATGACACAACTCTCAAATATTTCCAACAAACTGCAAGATCTTGTGCAGGCGCCCAACCTAGTCGAAGAGACAAATGAAGCGCTCATTGTACTGCTGAAATTGCGTGAAGAAGTCTCCCTGTACCTGCATCGTCTGCTCGTCTTCAAAGAGATTTGGGCACAGTATGAAAATCAAACCGATAAAATGGAGACTTTCGTGCGCGAAGCTGAGAAGGAATTGCGCAACATACATATACCCGAAGATCCACTAGAGCAGCCAATTGAACATATGCGTCAGTTCTGGGAGATGAAGGCACACTTTGAAATGCACAATAACATACGCAATCTAGCGGGTCATAGTTTCGAAAAAGCGCTGCAAGTCATACCGCTCGCCGACGAAATGCTACAGCGGCAATTCCATGCACAACTCGAAGATCGTTGCCAAAACATAGCCGCCTCTATTGAGCGTATACAGAATAATATTGTGAATAGCCTGGCCTCGCAAGACGTGCCACCCGAAGAGAAACTGAAATTGGTCGAACGTGAGTTGCAAGAAATCTATCTGACAATGACCAGCATTAAGGGTGTAATCAAGAATGAGGAAGAGCTCTGCCTCTACATTGAGCGCATACAAGTACTGCGTACGCGTGTTGGCTTCATTGGCAATGAATTGGGGCGCATCGGGCTGCAAGAACCATCCGTCGAACCGGAAAAGGTGGGCGAACTCTTTGCACTCTCGCATAAGATCAACACACAAATTGCCGAAGAACTTGAAGGCGCCTCCGTGCTGCGCGAACAATTGCGTGCCATACAAGAGGGCATACAAAATCTGCGCAAACATCAAACAAAACTCTCGGTCATATTGGACGAATGCGAAAGCGCTGAGAAACTGAGTAGCGAAGCTATTGAAAAGGCGGTAATCGATTGTCAAGCAGTTGGTGAAGATCTYATCGGTAATTGGCAAGAAATCATGCGTATACGACAAATGTTGCATACGTTGCCAATGCGGTTGAAGATGTCGGTGTCGCCTGTGAAATTGGAGCGTGACATCTCGCAGCTACAAGACGATCACGCMTTCTTAGAGAGCAAATGCACGAACATACTGGCAATACTGAGAAATCGCTTAGCGCTTTGGTTACGCTATGAGCGTCAGCTGGAGTTGGTGCACGATTCCGTGCAGGAGACTGACTTTATGATGGAATTGCTCAAGGTGCACGGGCAGGTCGACTATGAGCGGCTGCGCAAGGCCACTGAACGACTAGAGGTAAGTGCCAATTATCTATCAAGTTGTAGGCGTGTAAAATCGTATGTGCTTAAAAAAGGGTGCTGTTACACGGTGTTGGAAGGAATAATGAGCAGCGGTATTTAGTAATTTATTAAAATGTATTATTTGCTGTCTGTACGAGCGTGCAACTTTGAGGTATAAATTTCTGAAGCTTTACGAAGTGCCAAAACATTTCTATTTTTTAAACTTTCTAAACGAATTCATGCTTCCACGTCACAAAACTATTTCGTCAACTACTCCTCAAACCCTTTAAATGCTCTTAAASGCAAGTGCGCGCCATCATCAAAGTTGACTTTAGCCAATTACAAGTATTCCGCCGCAGTTTCACAATACTTCCGTTAAAAAAGAAATAATGCGCGTATAAATAGGTGGCAGAAGTCAACTTTTTACATACCAAATTCGATTGGCTTGCGTTATTTTTAAGGCACACAAGACAATTGTGAATATAATTAGCCATGTCCGAAATAGTAAATGAAGTGAAAATGAATTGTTTTAACTACTTGCAAGGTGCCGGCGCGAAGTGTTTGTCCGTTATTCACACGCGCGCTTTGTAAAGTGTAGCAGTGCGCCKAAATGATGAGCCGTGTGTACGTATGTTTGTATGCGCACATGTATGCTTGCACGTGCATATGTGTGCGCGTATGTTCAAAGAATTTGGGTCCCCCATTAGAAGCGCTTTAGAGAGTGAAGTTGTGGTGTGCCGGAGTCGCCCAGTGGGTTAAGCAAAGTGGCAGTCACAAGGCGCTCTTATGTTTCTTGTGTTTTCAGTTGTATTTGTTTTTATACTTCACTTCTTTACTTTTCAATAGTTTTTTTTGCCATTTGCTTTGGTTTTTGTATTACTTTTTTTCAGTGACTCTTTTGTGTTGATTACTTTTTAGTACGTGTTAAGCTTTTGACGCGAACGGGTGCGCAAACGACGGCGTTTGCTACGCGCGGATCAATAGTTGGAATTATAAATGTGTTTTTTGTTAATGCCAAGGAGCATATATTTGAATTCTCAACCGGCAGAAAGAAAAATAAAATTATTCCGTAAAATAATCTAAGCTTAMAATTTTTAAAGCATGTTTATTTGAGCAAGTGTTTTCGCCCGCCAGCTGTGTACTAAGTAATAAGTAAGGGTTTAGCTAAAATGCATATCTCCATAATATAAATGTATAATATAAATACATATACATATATAATATCTCAATTGTGTTTACCTGTGTTTTAAGACACGTTCTCAATTTGTTTTTGTTTTTCTAACCTTTTCATTCAAAAGGGTCTTGCTGGTGATTTACAAAATCGTGAAACACTCTTGGAGGATTTAAAAACCTCGGCTAAGCCTCTTATCGAAACATGCGATGTKCAAATTGTCGAACAGATCGAGTCGGCTGTGCAGGATGCGGTTGTAGCTTGGAATGATACGTCGGATAATTTGCTGCAACTGTGCACGCGTTATCAGCGCGCTGTCGAGCTTTGGGAGAAATATCGCAACGCTTCGGCGGCCATACGTAATTACGTTGAACAGCAAATGGATACGGTGCAGAATTTGAAACAGCCGCGGGAGACGCTGCAAAGTGCTAAGGTAATTAATTAAATTAAAATGTATTTATTTTTATTTTTTTTTTATGAAATAACGTAATAATTCATAAAAATATGAAGGTAGGGTAAAGCAAAAAATTTTTCATACACAAAAATATGTAGGAAAATTGTTATATCAGGTGAAGATAGCATTTTATTTTTATTTTTTTTATGAAAAGAGAAGGAATTTGTAGTAAAAAATAAGATAAGCAATTTTTATTAAGAAAAAGGTTAAATTATTTTTTTATTTTTTTGCATTTCTTATCAAATAAATTTTATTTTATTTTAAAAAGTTAAGCAATTTGTATCAAAAAATAAAATAAATATTTTTTTATTTAAAAACAGTTATCTATTTTCGAGAACAGTTTTTTGAATTTTGTTTTGTTTTTATAGAAACACTTTTTATTAAATAATATATTTTTATTATTAAAAAAGAATCAATTTTTATCAGAAAATAAAATTTTTTTATTTTATTAATAAAGAATTTTTTAGTTTTTTTGTTATTAAAAAATAAACAATTTTTATAAAATAATATAGTTAAATTAGTTGAGGCTAACAATTTAATTCCATTTTTTAAATAATTTTTTATTTTTTTAATTACAAAATTTAGTTTTTGTTTTTAAATAAAGTCTGTGCACTGCTGATGTTCGTAGTTTTTTTTCGCTGCAAAACTAAACTTTCTCTGTTCGCTTTCTCTAAACATTAGCATATGCTGATTATGTTGAAAAAATCGTGAAAATGTTGAAAAACTTAAATTTATGATAGAGTGAGTGTTCCRATACCTGTCATTTTGACAAATTAGCASCTTTTTGGGAAGTAAATAGCGCGTGCCAAATTTCAGCCCGATATCTTTAATCCTATTCTAGTTACTATTGCTACAAAAAATATTTGAACGCTTCCGATAACCAACTGTCAATTTAAACGCCTAGCATTATTTCAAAATGATAATGATAATAAAATGTAATCAGTTAGGTAATACACTGAAAAAATGTAACGCATATTGATCTTGTTTTTTTGTTTTGTTTTTATTTCTTTACTATTTTTTTTTATTTGCTATTATTGGGAACGTGTAAGAGTATTATAACTAAGCTGCTTTCGGCTAGATGAGTCGCATTGTTTTAAGTAAAAAATTAAAATTTAAGCCTACTATAAAAGTAACTGACCGCTACTATGTGTGCCCAATTTTGTCTCAATTAATTTATGCTCTTTTTTAATTAGGCTTTTGTTGTTGTGCGCCAAAGGGCATAATTGATTGCTGGAACATATAGCACTTAATTACACCGTGCTTATACGTTTATATAAATTAGTCGACCAATTAGCTAATATTACTAGGAAAGTGACCTGAGTTTATGTAGTCGTTGTTCGAAATTTATTTTATAAATAGGCCTTTGGTCATTTCGGTACTGATTGAGGGCGTAAATTTTCAGTGCATTTTACAAATCATTTCTGGTATTAAGATCAACGGTTCAAGTTTGTTGATTATATTAAACTCTGACGAACAAATGAGAAATGAGCTCATTAAAAGGAAAATGTTGAAGATTATGATTAAGGCACACACATATTTTTTTCTTTAATTAGAGAAAATATTCTGTATTAAGGCTGTGAATAAAGAGCAATAACGGTTTAGAAATGAAGAGCTTTTTGACACTTTTTATGTGTGTATATTAGGGTGGGGAAAAAGAAAACAAATATCTTTTGTAAGAGACAAATTATATAGCTTCAATGTTCTATACTACAAAATAATTCTGGTTTTTGATGATTCTTTTTTATTGAGTCATACAATTTATTAGAAAAAAAGTTTGCTTTAAACTAATCAAACTTCAACGATGATTAGATGATTAGATTTGTGAAAAAACATTTTTACAAAATCCGTGAAACGAAATATTGTTTCAAATAGTAGGAAGCGAGATAAGAATTTTTCTAACTGATAATAAGAAAAAATATAAAACTGTAAGGTTTAAGATCTCTCCGTTACAATTAAGAGCTCATGCTTGGTGAGACTTTCTTAGAGGTGTATAAGAACCTATTTTTCTATATAGTTGTTTATATATAATTTCATATATTATTATGTGAATAAGTAGCTCAATTATGTATATATTGATCTGTAAAATATCGTACGAAAATTAATGCCAACCTTTTTGGCACGAAAATATGTTTCCGATTTCTTACGTGGCTCAACTGACCAAATTTTATTAGCTTYTTCATTGAAGTCACTTTGCAGAGTTGCATTTTTATTGCTTACAAGCGTGGTAAGCAAGTGAAATGGTCTGATTAATACTTCATTGTGGACAGAAAGAAAATAAAAATGTTTGCATATTTCAAGCTTATCARCTATTATTTTAGTCAGCTGTAAGTAAATATGTGTGTTTGTATTTAAATGAGTTTGAAAAGAATTTTAATACGAGTATATATAAAATCATATAATTCTGCGTAAACAAGGCAAGAGTTAATGTTCTTTCGAATACCACATTGAGCTTATCGCATAATTAGTTATTTTTTTAATTTTGTTTTTATAAAAAGTAAAAGTGATGGATGCCAATGTTTGCTGTAGCAATWAAAAACATAAATTTATAAAATAATATAATAAGAAATGAGCACAGTGAGGCTATGATACCCCTATATGCTATATGCATCCGATCAGAACAATTTCTTCCGTGGTTATAGAGTTTTTTTTAGGCAATAACTCGTTTAAAATTTTGTGAAAACATCTCTTCAAATCATCTTTCAGTTTGTATAGCAACTATATGCTATATTTGTCCGATCCGAACAATTTYCAGTGAYTTAATGTTTGACTTCGAGAATAATMAATTTCGTGCAGATATTTCCTTAAATGAAAAASTTTTCCATACTAGCACTRGTTTCCTTTCGTTTAGTATTAATATAACCTCTTAAGGGTATAATAAAAATATTAAACAATAACATTTTTGGTACGTTTGCTCGAAGTAATTCCACGTGCTACTTGATATGCTTCYTTATCACCAAAATTTGACGCAAGTTATGCTGCGGCCTAAAAATATATACACACCAACATAATCTTACGTTTCTGCGCTTGAAATATGCTGACAAATTAGCTGTAATCTGACGGTTGACTATGTGGGAATTTTACAAAGCCCAACTCAATGTCGTAAAAAGCGATAAGCTGGYTTATTGATATACATACATAACTAAATAGTTGTTGCTTTATGTATGCTGGCGGAAACTTATATGCTTTGAGGAAGCAATACTATACTACATATCTACATAAGATCTTTTTTGTATCATATTTCACAAGTATGAGATCATTATGATATCATAATAACATAAATTGTACATACTTACTAGTTAAAATAAGAACAACGCAACATCAATCAGTTTATTTTCCCGTCAAATGTATGCGCAGCCGTATACTTACACTTTTAGCTGGATTTTGGGATAATTTTGGATACTTGTGTCACTTCTATGTTGTTATGTTGTCACAAGACGCTTTCAGCTTACCAGTATTAGTTCGTGTAAGCTTGTATATCCATCACCATATGTCACCGAATAACAGTTAACAAATTGAATATTATTTTTCAAATATACAATACAATTTTTGATATTTCAGTGGTTTTTAATTAGTTAGACACATATTTTATTATTTTATTATTATCATGCAATATCATGGCAAATATTCTGAGTATGTTGCTTGGAAAAATCATTGCAGTGTTCAGTATGTGCACGGAATTCGTGTGAACTRGACATAATATTATAATCAATAATTGAAATAAGAATTGTTAGTCAAATATAAAGACTAAAGTTAACACTACATGTGTGTTTGTGCATATATACATATTATGTACACATATAAACTTATTATATACAAACATATATTATATTTTAAATTCATACATACATATATGCTAGGGTGTTTAAACAAACGCAAGTATTTTTTTTTTTTTTGCATTTACTTTTCTCTGAAAAGTAGGTTCTTAAACATCTCTAAGAAAGTTGCTCCAAACATGAGCTGGTGATCGTATTGGGAAGGTCCTTCGCCACACAGTTTTTTTATTTTTATTTTTCTTATTATCAGTTAGAATAATTCCAAACTCGATTCCAACGGCTTGAAAAATATTTCGTTTCAGAAATTTTCTAGGAAATTCATTTAATACAATACGATAAGGTTACTTACGATTTTTTTTTGTCAACCTAAGAGAACATTTTTTCCTACATGCTCGCTCATATATGCATTTTTGTGTAAAATTCTAGTGACACGCAATCAATAATGTGTCTTTTATTGATTATCTGTGTGCCGCAACACAGGTCACTCATACGCACGGTTGACCATTTTTCTGGTTATTGCATTTCCGTATACAATGTGTTGTATGTATGCAGAGTAAAAATTTAGTGACACATTTATTTACTGCACATGTTTACTCTTATATATATACAACAACAACAATCAGTTACATTGTAGATACATATATACATAGATATGTGTATGTGTGTGTGTATAGCTAGTGGAAGTAAACGGAAAAGTCAATGTACGCGCGTAGTGGCCATTAGAGGCACGTAAATGAAAGGCAACGGTAGTGGCACAAATTTAGAAGTTGGCAGCATAAATTAAAGAAGCGGTCGCCGAAGAGCTACATATAGAGACATATTAGCAAATATGTATATGCATACATTCTATTATACATATACCGGTGTTAGGGTATTGTAATAGGAAATAGAAATATGCGTTAGTTAAAGTCGCTGCATGCTTGGAAGCATTATAAATGAAAAGTGACTTGTGCGCTAAATATTTTATTTTTTAAGACACAAAAGTAAAGCGGCGATATTTAAAAGCAATGCAGATGCATATAATATATGTATATGCATTTGGATATTTTGTAAATTATTTTTAATTTTAACATTAACACAATATTTTGCGTTCGCTATTCCCACACAGATCTGCCAGGATAATTTAAACTCACAAACGGATCGTTTGTCGGAGCTGCGCGATATCGTTACGAAAATAGCCGCCGATATTGGTTTGGATGCCTCCGGACTCATGCAAGGCGAATTGGATGCGTTAGGCCAACGTTTGCAAGACTGCAAGGAGGCCATTACCACATTGGCCAATGTGGCCGAAGCCAAGGATAAAGAACGCAAGGCCATCGACGAGAATGTACAGCAAACGAAAGCGTACTTGAACAATGTACAGAAGGTGAGTTGCAATGACTTTTCCAACAATATAACTCACTCTTTATATGAAACTATGTACACATATATACGCCTAAACATACAAACATACATGTGTATATATAAATCATACTTATATATGTACAACTCACCGCTGAAATCTGTTTGTAATTGCAACTACGCAAGCACTCAATCACAGTATACTAGTTCCCATGCCAAAGCGCGTCTCTCACCGTTGGCGCCAAATGTCCAAAAATTCGAACTTGTTTGTGTGTGCGTATGTTTATATACCACAGCGTCAGTTTCAAGTTCATTAAATCCTTAATAGAATTAAATACTTTAGATAATACTTGTAGATATCATAAATCTCCAGTGTTGCATCTTCCATGTTTTTGTTGCAGATTGATTTCATTAATTTATTAGTAGGTTTCAACACGAATGCCGCACACACCCATATCGTGTACAATTACGCCTACATGCATATATGAATAAGCAAACATGTATTTTTATTAGTATGTACTGTAGTACTGCTGATTTTAGTGGTTTTAAGTGTATGCGACACTGTGTGAAAAATAGGCCGGCATTTTCTAAAATGGCAGTTTATGGGTTTTGTCTGGCAGCAACACATATTTACAAGCCAACGTAAGTTTTTTGTGGTTGTATTTGTTTTAAACAGAGTTGTGGCATATGCAAAGTACGTAGTTTATCAAAATATATTGGTAAATTTTTTTGAGTACTTTAACTAAAACTGTTTTAGTACTAAAAATCGGCTGTGCTAAATTGTGTTTTTATTGTTAAAATTACTTACAACTTTGTTACAACAAATAAAATTATACGAAAAAAAACTTGTTCTAGAAAATTTAGTACAAATTTAGTACAACCACAGCAGATATTAGATATTTTTTTCAAAATTCGTTGCAAATTTCTTTTAGTATTTTAGAAGAAAAGTTTTTAATATCAAAAATCGGTTGAACTAAACTGTTTTTCAACAATTTTCAATATTCTCGCAATTCTCTTACAAAAACAAAACCAAAAAAAAAAAAAGTTTAGTAAAACATTTAGTGCATCTACACGACATCTAGAATTTTTTAGTTTCAAAAATCCTTTGGAAAATTCATTGTAGTACTCTAACTAAAAATATTTTAGTACTAAAAATCGGATGTACTACATTTATTTTGAAGGAATAATTGCTTACAACTCTCTGAGAGCAAACAAGTTATGAAAAAAGTTTGTCCTAAAAAAGTTAGTACATCCAAACCACTACCTAACTTTTTTAAAAACACTGAAAATTTTATTTTAGTATTTTAACGGAAAATAGTTTAGTACTAAAAACCTGTTGTACTAAATTTTTTTAAAAGTATTTTTGTTTTTATGAAAAATATTTTAGTACTAAAAGTCGTATATACTAAATTTTTTAAAGAGATTTTTTGGAAAGTTTATTTTAGTAAACAAGTACGAGATAAATGAGTTTCTTGGAAAAAATATTAGTACTAGATAGAGTTGTAGATCTAGTTGATATTAAATCCTTGAAAATTTTAGTACTAAAAGTACTAAATTTGTTTGTACACTTTTTTATATAATTCCTTCCTTATAAGTTATTTGAAATAAACAAAAATTAGATAAATAAGTTTGTGCTAAAAAATTTAGTACAACTTTAGTACATGCTTTAAAAAAATTATTTTAATATTTTAACTAAATATGTTTCTAGTACTATGAAGAGTGCAGTATCAGCTTGCACAATCGTGTACTAGAAATTTTAACAGTTTTTTGAAAACACAAGGGAATAAGAAAAGTTAGTTTTTAACCTTTTTGAAAAAAATATGTGCTCATTCGTCTACATGTCTGTTTTCGCTTCCGAAATTGCCCCCATCGATATTATGTACTTATTCCAGTGCTTGTTCCAATCATTGAATCACGACTCAAACTTCTTACCTCAGCAGCTGCTACAGACAAAGTAAGCAATGAATACAGCTGAAGATATCAACAAACTTCAGGGGCATATATATCAATCTCTAAACCCACGAAAGAAATTTTAAATTTAAAAAATTTCGTTATTTTCTCGTACATTTGATTTGGTTTGTCTGTACGCAGGTAGGTCCTTTACTTTGCCAATTGAGTGTGGCAGCATTAAAAGCATTTTATAGACACGCAAACTCAAATGTGTGTGCGTACCTTTTTACAATCATGTATACTCGTATACTGTTCACCAGGTGGGAGTGTATAAAACTGTTGTTCGCCTGGTTTTATTTTGACTTTGAAATACCGCTGCTGCTTTGCGGTGAAGTCATTATCAAATTATAGGAAGTTAAACTTTTTTGCAATTATCTTCTTCTAAAGCCTTCCAAATTGCTTATATGAGTTAAAACAATGTAAGCCAAGCGCTGAATATAAGCAAATACATATGTATTGGAAAGGAAATATATGCCACAAATTTGCGTATAATTTGTTGATACTGAATTGGCACAGTGTAGGTGGGTGGATATCCAACTGCTATAGGTAGTCTAATGCCACAGACTTCTCTATGTGAGTTACTGGCCCATTTTAAGTGGCTGTATTTGTATTCGCAGGTAATGGATGTGTTTGTAATGCATGCAAYTGCCAATTTAATAATGAAGGCAGGCTACGGCAATTTCAACCAAATGTGGCACAAACATGTGGCAATGTATTGCTGCCATTTAAACACCATTCGCATTCAGACGCCGATGCGGCTGAGCGCGTTTCGTGTGTGCGCGCCAATAATTTMGATTAACATTAGCATTTTTAATACTCTTTTCTCGCAAAATGTAAATAAAACTAGAACTAAATGCTTCGTAATTTACAGGATGTCGATCGCCAATCGCAGGTCACCGCAGCCGGTGTGCCTAGCGAGGAGCAGCTAACGGCATTGCGCACTCACTTGCAGACACTGGCTCGAACGGAGGAAGAGCTGAAGCAGYTGCGTGAGCGAAATATTGAGAACACGACGACCGAACGTAGTAATCTGGCTGATGATGACAACACCATCATCGAGGTGCTGGAATTGTGGCAAAAGATATTCCAGGATACCTTTCAAGAGTATCATCGCCTCTCCACACGTTTGCTGCGCAGTCAGAACAGCGCTGAGGCATTGAAGTTGTGGCGTCAATACTTGCAGCACGTGCAACAATTCCTTGCCTGCAACATACCTGAAGACTACACAAGTCTCAAGGAGCAGCAGCATCTGTGTGAGATACATCAAAATCTKCTTATCTCACAGCAAAATGTGCTCGCCACACACACGGAAGCCGAACAACAACTCGAACCGGCACTCGCCGAACAATTCAAAGTGCTAACGAACATGCATAATGAGACGCTGTCACGCATTATGCAACGCAATAATGAGCTGGAGGCGCGCATGACTGCTTGGAACACGTATCGCGCTGATTTGGCGGCGCTGCTCGAGTGGTTGAAGGAGCGCGAGAAGGAGCGCACACGCTTGCAACTACGCTACATAAACCTGAAGCGCGTGCCACGCCTCAAGCAGCGGCTGGATGAGTTACTACAACAGTTGCCAGCAGGCGAAGCAATGTTGACGCAATTGAGGGAGCAGCAAACTAGTTTGTTGCGCTTCTGCGACGATGCGCTCGCCACCTCCATACGCATGGAACAGTCAAGTGTAGCACAACGCATTAACAACTTGAAGGCCGCACTGGAGACATGGAATAGCTTTCTGTTGAAAATCTCACAGCTGGCGAGCGCTTATGAGCAACGTACCGTTCAGCTAGACAAAGAGTTCGACAAAATGCAACAGCTAGTAAACAAAACAAATGACCTATTACCCACTAGCGCCAGTGATATACAGGATTGTYTGAGTAAACTGCGCGCGCAGCAAGTACATCTTTCGACGCTCACGGAAGATCTTGAAGCACTCAATGTCACACAAGAGGAACTCAAAGAATGTATTAGCCCGCACGACATGAAGGCAATAAGACAGAAGATTTGGCTGCACTGGCAGCAGCACGCTGATCTCGAATACCAACTGACGACTTTGATAAATATCATCGAGGAGCGCTTGTCTTTGCATGCACTCTTCAACACACGCTACGACCGTTTGGCGCACTGGTTGAGTGGTCTGGAACACCGCGTTGAGCGTGATTCGGATATCTCAGCCATAGCGAACCCCGAAGATGCAGCGCGTCAATTGGATAAACAAATCACCGCTGAGCTCCAACTGCGCGAAAAAGATCGCGAATGGCTGTTGTCTACGGGACGCGAACTTATCTCACTCTACACAGACAATTCGCGCAATGCAGAGGCCATACGYCATGAGGTGCAAGAGAAATCGGATATGCTAATCGATCGTTGGGAACGGCTGAAGTACCTGAGCAAGCAGCGCGCCAACAAGATTGGCGATTTGAAGATGACACTGCTGCGCCTAGAGGAACGCATTGCCTTAATACGTGCCTGGATGTTCGAAGTAGAGACCGAATTGCATAAACCACTCACTTTCGACTCGTACACACCACCGGTTATAGAGGCGAAACTCAAGGAGCATGAGAAGATACAACGCTCCATTGAGAATCACAGCAGCAATGTTGGTGAAGTGTTGAATTTAGTTGAAATGCTGCTAAATGACGCGGATACCTGGCGCTCGCATGTAAACACCTCGAATCTTGGTGTATCTGCGCAGAATCTCGAGAAACGCTGGAAGAATGTCTGTCAGCAATCCGCCGAACGCAAGCAACGCATACTTACCACATGGAATTTGTTGCAACAATTGATCAAATTCACCACTGAGTACAAAACATGGCTAAGCAAACAGGAGACAGACATTGCGGCCTACGAACGCGACCTTTCAACATTGTCGAAGGAGGAAGCGGCTGCACGTCAAAAAGCTGTCGAAACTAAGCTACGTGAACTAGAGGCACAAGAGGYGCCCCTCAATCAATTAGCACAGACTTATGCCAAACTGATGATGAGCGCTGGGGTTGATCCCGAGAATATACAGAGTCTTACCATGCCGACGAAGGTAATGTTGGCGAAGTGGCGTCAACTCGGACCACGCTGTCATGCTGTTATCGATGTCATTGACAAAGACGTCAAATTGCGGCGCGATTTCGAGAAGGCACAACAAGAGGCTGTAAATGYGTTGACCGGCATACAAAGTGAACTGGACCRTTTGCAGAAACAACAGCCATGTACACCCGCCGAAGCACAAGCTGCTGTGAAACGTATCGAAAACTTGGAAGCCAAGCTGAAACAAGCTGGCGAAAAAGTGGAAAGTGCTGACAAATTAGCGGCCGAAACCAAAAATAAGGCGAAACAAGACGAACTGACGCGTATCATRACGCTCATCACGCAATACACCATCATTTGGCGTGAACTGCAAACGCGCATAGTCACAATCAAAGCCGAATGGATTGCCAAAGCGGCCGCCGCCGCTACCGGAGTTGTCGGCGSTGTTGCAGAGGCAGCTATCACCGCGACACACGCATCCGAAGCCGATGCTGGCGTGCAAGTGAACACTTTGTCACAACGCAAGCTACGCAAGGCGCAAATGCAACGCGAAACCTCGATCACCGCCAAAGATGCCTATATCATGGAGCTGGAGACAGCGATCAAGGAATGCCAAACGAATCTCGATGAGCTGAAGCGCACCATTTGCGACAAGACACGCAAACCAGGTCCGCAAAAGATGTCCAAGCTGATTGGCAATGCACAATCGTCCACCGAGCTGGTGAAGCATTTAAGTCAGCTGTTGTTGAGCGAATGCCAAGCGAGCGCCGACGAGGCGCAAGTGGAGGCAGTGGCAGAGCTGGCGCTGCGCTTCGAAACATTGCTGTCGCAATGGAAGACGCGCCAACAGCAAGATCAAAAAGCTAGGTAAGTGACGCCAAGAAATTGAAATGCATTAAGTGTTAATGTGAATAACTATTTTTTGCTTTGGTGTTGGGGTACTCATATKATTATTATCTGTTTTCTTGTTTATTTACACTCCACACACATACACACACGCGTGTAAACTAAATCTTTGCAATACAAAAACAAACTAACACGCGCCTTTAAATATGCTTCATGTCACCCTCTCAAAACGCTATGTGTCCAAATCGCAAACGCATTTCCATAAAAAATGTTTAACAGAAGTGCGCTTCCCGCTGCATACAAATTGACCTGCCCACAGTAAGTGCCAATACACTGTAAATTTAATTGTACATACACTGCAACATAACTGTAAATTTAAGTAAATTTGCCTTTGGTGTACCGCATCTGCTCATACTTCATACTCACCACAAATGGCAAGCATTTGAACTCAATACAAATCCACTAACGCACTGTGCTCTCCTACTTTTCTCTCTCTCTCAAACAGTGAGGTCGGACGCCTGACGTGCCCGCTTTGCACACAACGCAATTGGCAGCAGATCGACAACGATCTTTGGCGCCTCGAGCAATGGCTACAGTTTGCCGAAGGTACGCAAAAGTCGCAAACCTCACCACCGTCGAATATCGAACTGCTCGAGGATGTGGTGCAAGATCATCGCGAATTTCTGCTCGATCTCGAGAGTCACAAATCGATTGTGATGAGCCTGAAYGTAGTCGGCGATCATTTGGCCACACACACATTGGACACGGACAAGGCGCGGCAATTGCGCGATCGTCTCGAAGCCGATAATCAACGCTGGAATGCAGTTTGTATGGTTGCTGCCAAATGGCAGGGCCTCTTACAAACAGCGCTCATGGGCAATAGCGAATTCCATCAGATAATCGATGAACTGTGCTCGTGGTTGCAGCAAACCGAACAGAATATCAAATCATCGGAACCGGTGGATTTGACTGAAGAGCGTAGTGTGTTGGAGGCGAAATTCCGTAAATTCAAAGAATTGCGSGCCGAATTAGAACGTTGCGAACCGCGTGTTGTGAGCTTACAAGATGCTGCCGACCAGCTGTTAAAGTCCGTGGACGAGACGAGCGCCGAGTCGTCACACACCTATGCAAGGTAAGCGAGCSTATGCGCCAAGCCGCAGGGCGGAACGATKAAAGTAGGGGGTTTGTTCGAAACAAAAGTGTTGTGTAAGAACTTGCGATACCTTTGAAAGTGGGCAGAAAATAATAGTTTGTGAAAAACAAAATACAAGTAAGAGAATTATTAAARCTAAAAGCGCATATTCATGGCTTTCGCTAGGGAAAACCGAGTTGAGGAACCATTAATAATAAAGATCGTTGCTAAGAATGGGCTGAGATGAATGCTAACAGTATTTTATGTAGTAGTTGAAGTTGTAGAGTAGATATTTACTTTCCTAAATTTGCCGTGTAGAATACCTGAAATTGCTTTGTAGAACACCTAAACTTGCTTTTTAGACCACTTGAAAAAATTTATTTTTCGTAGCAACAATGCAAATTATGCATTTTATTATTTAGTTTTATASTTTTTATATCCATAACTTTTAACCACATACCTCATCGTGTCATAGTACTTCGTTTGAATTCAAAAAAATATATGTGTTCGGAATTCRAAATTATACTAACACTTTTTGCAGTTTTGGGGCTTTTTCCTAACCAAAATTTTGTTCAAGTTTTGATTAATAAACAATATATAAAACGATATGAAGGGATTTTAGAGCTAAAGTGCGCACACATGTGAAATATGCTATTATTTAAGAATACAACAAAACTTTAATACAAAAGTGTGTAATTTGTGTAGTATGTAAGAAATATGTGTTGACGTTATACTTAGTGCTTTCATGTTGAAACTTTCATCAGTSAAAGCTGTATTCAAAATGACATAAAGGAACTAGTAAAGATCTTTCAATGTCACATTTTCTTTTCTTTAATTGAAAATTGCCGTTTTGTGAAAATAGCTTTAAGCTTTGTAAGCTTAACTTATTCGTAAGCCTCAAAGACTACATTTTCTTATTAAGAAGGAGAGCTTAAACCTTTGGTAACCTTTAAAGAAAAACTTTTTTTGTTTAKAAAATGAACTTAAAGCTTGGTAAGCTATAAATATACAGTTTAATTAAGCTTAAAAATTAAATGTTCTTTTTAGAAAAATAGCTTAAMGCTKGGTAACCTTTACAGAAAAACTATTATGTTTAGAAAACGAGCTTAAAGCTTGGTAAGCTATAAAGAAYACTTTAAGTAAGCTTAAAGATTARATTTTCTTTTTATAAAAATAGCTTAAAGCTTGGTAACCTTTACAGAAAAACTATTTTGTTAAGAAAACGAGCATAAAGCTTGGTAAGCTATAAAGACCACTTTAAGTAAGCTTAAAGATTAATTTTCTTTTTAGAAAAAGAGCTCAAAGCTTGGTAACCTTTAAAGAAGYGCTTTTATTGTTTAGAAAATGAGCTTAAAGCATAGTAAGCTATAAAGAAACACTTTAAGTAAGCTTTGAAGATTAAATTTTCGTTAAAACAAAGTGCTTAAAGCTTAGTAACCTTTAAARAAAAGCTTTCTTGTTTAGAAAATGTGCTTAAAACTCCGTAAGCTATAAATAAAAATTTTTCTTAATTATGAAAAGGGCTTTAAGCTTGCTAACCTTTTCAGAGAAATTTTAGAATTTATTAAAAGAGCTTTAAGCTTTAAAGAAACTTTTTTTTTTCTTATTTAGCTGCATTATCTACCTTTTTGCGCTTTATGTTATGACTTTTGCATAATGAAAGTTGAGTTTGGTTTCAAAAATTTATATATATTTTTCTGCAGCCTTGCATATTTCATATGTGTGCCAATATTATATAAACAGATAATTTCATATTTACCTTACTTGAAAGCTTTCATAACAATAACTTCCATTGCACTTGGGGCTTATAAAATAAAAATAAAAAATAAAAGATTTAATCCATTGTGTAAAACAGGACGTTATGTCCATCCTATTAAAGTATTGTCTTATGAAAATAAGTTACATGTGTATTCCGTTAGTTTTATACTATTTCACACATTTCGTTYTTTACATTTTATTACGGTATATAACCCATTGTTATGTTAGCTTTTACCATACTACTTTACAATTTAGTTTATTGCCATTATAACTCTTTGATTCTCTTTACCTTTTATGCCTACATATATGCGTACATACATACATATATACTATATATATAATACATACTATGTTATATAATTTTGTTGAACAAATACTATATATTTTTTGCTTAACAAAAAACACCAAATTTTCCGAAACAAAATTGGAATGAACGCTTTCTTATTGTTCTTGTTGGCGTTCTTTTGGTTGCGTATTTGGTTTTTTGCACTTTTTTGTTTAAAACTCGAAACTTTTCGTCCGCCCATTCTAACACTTCATCCAATTGATTATCTCGTAAGTTCACTAACATTCGCATTAAATCGAAGAACCCTTTCCAGGTTGACCGATCTACGTTTGCGTTTACAATCGTTGCGTCGCCTGTCCGGCATCTACATTGTGGCTGTCTCTTATACACATCTAGATGTGTATAAGAGACAGGGTTGACCGATCTACGTTTGCGTTTACAATCGTTGCGTCGCCTGTCCGGCATCTACATTGTGAAGTTGGGCGCGGTGCTCGGCTATAATAGTGACAACATGGGCGTGTCGCTGCATATGTTGTCGAATGAGGTAAGCTAAATGCGGGAGGAGTAGAAAAATTAAAAAGAAAATTAGAAAATAAAAAAAATTTTGACTTCAATTCTTTACTAATGTAATGTGCCAGTAACAATTTATTTTAATTGATTTTCATATTAAAAAAAAATATTACTTTTTCTTAAGCACCAAACCTGATTGGATATGAAATTGAGCAAAGTGTACTAAAATTAAAATTATAAAACAACAAAAAAGTAAAAAAAGATATATCAAAATAATTAGAAAAAATTTACAAAAAAATTAGAAAAAAAATTTAAAAAAAAAAATTAAGAAATAAAAAAAAATTGAAAATATAATAATTTAAAATTCTTAAAAGTATTTTTAAAATTTATTTAGTCGCAGAAATGCTTAAAGTTAATAGTTACTAGTAATTTTATTATTTCATTTGTGCGTTTAATTACTGAGTGTACTATATACGTTGGTTATCAATTTATTTATTTTATTCTTTATTTCATCCTTTGTTTTATGTTCTTATTGCAAAACAGCTTTTGGATCAAACTACATTACCCTCTACATCTTCTTCCATGCAGGCAGCCGCACCATACACTGATAATGCAAAGTAAATATTATTAGATCGTAAAATAGTTTTTATAAGTTCGAAATRCATTTTATTCGTTTTCAAATATTTATTTTCAAATTTAAATAGTTTGAGATTTCAATTAAGTACAAGTAAAATAGAAAAACAAAATTGCATGCTTTAGTTATTCAGTACTAAACATGAAAGTCTCGGCAGCTACGTCTACTGGCAATATATTATTAATTTTATATTTCATTATTTTTTTAAATTATTATTACTATTGTGTTAAAATTTTTACACGCACAATCGCACTATATTTAGTAAATTCGCTTACTTGCCAGTGGACTTGGGAGCGCGCAACAAAAATTCCTGATTTTGATACGTGAGAAGCAAAAATTAGTTCAGTAACTAAGATATAAAAATATAAACAGGAAATAATATGCTATACATTGCGACAACAGAGCTCCCGGAAATTGTAATTAAAATGCAAAACATTTAATTATTCAACAATATTTATCTTGTCGCCTTCAAAGTAATCCCCAACAGATGCAATACATTTGTTTTCCAGTCCAACTTCTTCAGCCAAYTTTGTTTTATCTCTTCGATTGAAGGAAAACGGGTTGTACGGATCAACWAGTTCGCTTTGGGGAACAAGAAAAAAATCACACGCGACCAAATCTGTTGGATATAACGGTTGATCGATGGTATACATTACGTTTTTCGCTTTAAATTCGRTCACAATCGTATTTTCTTAAAAAAATACAGCGTTTCATACCAAAAATATAAACCAAAATATTTCGAACGGGTTCAGGAGAGATTTTGATATCTCTTGTTATCTCTTTAACAGTTGCCTGACAATATTTTCATCAGTTAAAGATCTCGAAGATAGTAAAGAACGTAAGCCATTTCCAACATTCGCAATGATTCGGCAACGAAATTTGGTTAGAAATAAAAAATTTKAAACAAATTCTTTGTTTAATATTTTTGTCCATTGTTAAAATCGCAACGCACGGCTGCGGTGCACCGACTTAAGCCGCAGCTGTAAAGAAACTGACTGACGGATCGTGCTCATATTTGGTATAGTAATCAAAGACAGTCTTACCAACTTAAAAAAATTTACTTATTTTTGAAATATACGGGTACTTTTTTTATTATTATTTTATTATCAAATAATTTATTATCCAAACGAATCGGTTAATTAGAACTTGAGTTCGTGTAATAACGTGTAAGAGTTCTTAATAACTACCCAATATTAAAAGTCTTTTCATATTTCTAATTAAACTTCAACAATTTTTTTGTCCAATATTCATTTTAATTMAAATATCTTAAACTCATCTACTTTGCTATATCGAAATCAAGCTCTTTTTGTTGTGCCTTAACTTAAAAAGCGTTTTAAGCTCCGAGTCATATTCATACTTCGGCTGAGCAGTGCCGCAGAGAGAAAACTAGGAAACAAGGATGTTTGCAATGAATTTTTTTTGTAGAAATCTGCAAAARATATTTGCAGAGTACCGCAATAGAGTTCGGATCCAGCAGAAATTGTTTCCGCTCGCCCCACTTCTTTCCTACACTGCTGCTGAGTAGTTATAGTTTCAAAAAGTAGTCTGTAAGCGTGTATACATAGTATAATATATAAATTTTTGTTAACTATTTATGCCTAATTCTTGTACCTAGTGGCTTTTTATATTTCTCTAACGCATTTGTATTACTATCTCTTTACAATAGCGGCACCACCGGCACCGATGCCGATGCTGTCGATGGCGATGCCATCAACACCACCGTACTTGCGCGCGGTGCACGCTTCCTCGGGCGGGTTGCACGTGCCTCCCTGCCCATACAAGCGCTCATGTTGCTGTTGTTGGGTGTTGCCACACTTGTGCCCCACGGTGAAGACTACACTTGCATGTTCTCGAACTCGTTTGCGCGCAGCCTAGAGCCGATGCTCTCATACCCCAACGGACCGCCACCGACGTAATAGTGGGTAGTTGTCGCAAACCAAAACAAAAAACACAGAAAAAACAATTAAATTAAACGAACAAAAAATAGTATATAAGAAAAACGAATATAAATAATATATACATATGTAAGAAAAGTGAGATTTGTAAATGTCCTACACATTGTGTACAAGATTGTACAGTGTTAAAAAGAAAAAAGTTGCAGTTGGAATATTAAGCAAAAGAAAGGGAGTGTTTTGTACGCTTGCGTGAAATTGCACAAAAAAGAAAAATAAGAAAAGAAAAAGCATAAAGCATAAAGTCGTGTATATGCCTTGCTTGTAATTGTATGTACAATAAACTATAAACAAATACTGATTGCTATAAATTTGTACATCACTTAGTGCAACATAAAGAATAATTCAAATACTTGCCGTACGAAGTTTTCCAGGTAGTTTGTACATTTTGATAGGCATTAGATAGCGCTTTGGAGTAATTGACGAAACGAAACCGAAGTTTTGGGGAACAGTATGTTAAATAAAATGACGGCGAATGAATAAGGAATCTAGGGTAAAGAAGTAAGAAAGCAATAACTGCTGGCATAACAGTTATAATAACGCTTTATAATCTTGGTTATAAAAGCGGTTATAATAACAAGTTAAAACAAACATAACAAAGTGCAACAACTTATATGAAATTTTAGTACATAAGCATGACAGAAAAACAGAAAATTACAACTAAAACTTAAAAAAAAAAAAAAAAAAAAAAATTACGAAACGCACATAGAACACGATAAATTATAGTAAAACAAATTTTTGATATTTTCGGTACACGAAAAAGGACTCGCAAAACGACAACAAACAACAACAACAAGCATGCCGTGTGCTAAGCGAATTTCGTGGAACATTTTTGCTTAGCGCAGGGCATGGCGCAAGCACGGCAAACAAAATAYAACGACAATGCCAAAAGACAACAACAAACAAGTAGAGAACCGAAATCCTTAAGCAATTACAACAACACTCTCCAAAATTTAAGTTTTCTCAAAGCCACATAAAGGAAATTGCACGAACAACTTTCAAAATCGAAAAATTCAAAATCCATGACCTACAAAAACTTGTTTGAAAACTGACAAACGCGCACATTTTTGCATGACCACATCTCCCAAAATACAGCGGTTGTATCAAAACTGCGCGCATTTGCCTTTTCACAAAACAACAAGAAAGTCAATGTAACGCCATCCTTTAGCGCACACATGCGCGCATGCGCACAAATCTCTCCAATGTGTGCATGCTGGTTGGACGCAAAGTTGACAAAAACAAGTACTGAAGTACGATTAATTCACATCGAAAACATTCCCAAACAGGCATTACCATAGTTAGTTTTAGCTAAACGCAACATTTACTTATTTTTCCAAAACTTGATAGTAATTTTTTAGTAGTTAAAAATCGATAAATGTTGTTGTTGTTGGTATTTATGTTAAAATGTGTGGCGCAGTTGTTGTTGGAAAATGTAACTAAACGCAAGCAGCAAGTGTCCTCAATTGGCGCGAAATCAAATTTCAATGAAGTAAGCTCTTTTTGGCTAAAACAAAAAAAGAAAAGAAAAGAAAAGAAAAAACTGCAAAACAAAACGAACGAAGTGAAATATTATTATTATTATTTTTTAAATGAGATTAGTAAAGGCAAACAAGCGCGTTGCAAAATGAGCAACCAAATGTTAAAAATATGAAATTATAAAAAAAAAAAATTGTTAAGCCTAAAACTAGCACACGCACTAGAAGCGCCTCTGCGTGAATTTTGTTTTGCCAGAATCCATCCATACACACTTACATTGTTGTGGTGTGTATTCTAATATATGTATRTTTTGTTTACTTTTTATTAACGTTGATATGAAATTTACGCTTTATCTATGCTTTTCCTATGTGTACCTAAAACGCATTATGCAAACTTATCGTTAAAAACTATTTATTCATTTCGCTATGGATTTACATATACATTTATACGATATTATTAACAATTGTTTAAACGCTTATGGCTTTGTTAAATTTTCCGTATTTTTATACAACTACACTGAAAAAAAATTAATGTCAATTTATTTAAAAAAAAGTTTATTTTAATAAAAAAAGATTTTTTTTTACTTTAAGTAAACGATATGACCATTACACGACGAAAACTGAAAAACAGAAATACAAAAAAATTTACAATAACACAAAAAAAGTTCAAAAACAAAACTCTGAAGAAACGCAGTTTTGAGTTGTCAGTTTAAGGAAAAATAAAAKAAAATAAATAAATAATGTACTATATATTTTTTGCATTAAGCAGCAAATGTTTATCAAACTTTTGTTAGATTAACTTATTTAAGAATTATTTGTTTTCACTTACTCGTACATTTAATGTATCTACATATATACATCCTTACGTATACTACACGTTTATTATTATTATTATATTATTATTATGTTATGTATGAATCACCTTTGCAAAAGTATAAAAATAAAAAAATATGAAATAATTTTTTGCATTTTATTAAGAATATCCAGCACCTAAGCCAACGAAACCGCAACATGTCTGTATGAAGTTTTGTTCTTTATAGTAGGAAGAAGCATCGAAAGCCGACGTGCGGAATTTTAAACCGTTAATCCTTACCAATTCCGAACTCATATCTCTAACACAGAATCACCGAAAAATCCGAAACATCCATGTCCAAACAGTATTTGGGTTAGATGGAAGTCTAGTTTCCCAGATTGTCTAACTAACCAGGTATGTAGAAATAATTATAAATATAAATATAAAATTATTATATTTCCCACCTTACCGTTAATGTTACACAGTATATTCTTGAATATTTATAGAAAAAATGCTATTAACAACTGTTTAGTTAAAACTTAAATTTTCATGAATATGGGGGTTTTATAGTTATAAAATGGATACAGTTTTATCGACTTGTTATAGTAGTATAATTTACCAACTAATTGGGTCCAAACCACTGCATAATAGCCTAATAAACACCAAAACCATGGATTGATAATACGTTTCTTGAAATAACGTCTTTGTGGTAAAACTTTTTACAATAAAAGTAATAGAAACAAAATCTACAAGCGATAAGCTTTCCAACGACASCTCATTCTKCTAAATCGGTTCAGAAATGGCGGAGTTATTCGAGTTTTTAGTTGAGCAACACCCCTACTGCATGGTTATGGGCGCCTAGTACTTCAGATGAATTTGCCACAATTTTTACGCAGCATTTATTTCTTCGTGATACACAGCGCCACCTCTGTCCGAAATTTTAGGGAGAATATTTTTCCACATGAGTCATCCTGCATTCACACACTTCCGCCTTGGTGGTATGCAACATTTTGGAGGTGGCAATTTATTTTTTAATGATGTGCTGCGCCACCTGTGTGGGACATACCACGAAAATATTTTTCCATATGAGTCATTCTGTTTTCACTCACTTACGCTTAAGTGGGCGCCTTGTGGATATGCAACATCTTCGGTCGCAGCAGTCTTTTTGGCTATACACAGCGCCACCTGGGCGCGATATTTTGCGTAAAATARTTTTGCACACGAGTCATTCAGTTTACATACATTTCCTTTTACATAGCGCCTAGCGCATATGCAACATATCTCGGAACTGTAACTTAATTCGTAGCGATAAACTGCGCCACCTGTGGACGACATTTTACTAAAATATTTTAGCGCCTTGGAGGTATGCCACATTTTTCGGGACTTCGATCCTGCACTTTTAACTTCCGATATCGTGCTGCTGCCGATGCTGGGTGCCTGGTGCATATGTGGGATTTCGCTAAACGCGTCGGGCACAATTTTTTCGTGCAAGAAAAATGTCGCAGGGGAGAAATAAAAAATATCGCATGCTACTTTTAGTGTTTTAGTTAATTTAGCGTAGCTTCTGCACCATTCAACCGATTTGCACGATTTTGGTATCAAATTAAAGGGAATTTAATGACGCTTCTTTTGCAGCTTGTTAGGAATAAAAAACACATTTTTATATTTACTTTTGGATTTCTTTTATTTGTAATATTTAAAAATTAAGCTTAAGTGATGTGCATACAAGTTTGAATGAAATTATGAGCAAGACTTCCATTTTTAGCTCAGTTAACTCGAAATGAAGGGTTGATTCACGGAGACTGCACTTCCCTCGGTAACCCTCTTCCCTCCTTTCCTTCCCTCTTATACATATGTATATAGAGCACAAGGCGTAAGCGCTGAATGTTTTTCCTGCCAGCTACAGAGCATGTACGACTAAAAATAGTGTTAACACGGAGTCAGACCGCCATCATAACACGGTCAAAAAAAGTTTAAATATTTCCCTCAGTGTATTTATTTTATGCCACAGATGGCGTTGCACGCTTCCCTATGCTTGTCATCAACACCGTCGTTGCTATGGTTTCATGTTGATTTAAAAAATTTTGACAACACACAACAAATCAAAGATAAATAAGAAAATTTCGTGCTCGTTGAAAAATATATAAAACATTAATTAAAATAAATAAAGCAATATGTTTCGACGTGGAAAACTGCATTTTCTCAGCACCAAAGATGATCGCATCAAAATAATGAATGAGCGCATTAATTTGACGGAAAAACACTTATTGGAAATATGTGGTTCATTTGCAGCTTGCACCAGAAAAATAGCGAAGTAATTGACATATTACATTTGTGCATATAGCAAATATATATAAATGCATTGACATTTTTTTAGATGCCGCAATGCCTTCGACGATTTGGCACACAAAGTGCAGAATTTCGCAGAAGAGGAGAAGATCAATTATAGTTTGAGTGATGGCCTGAACTCCATTACCACCTCTTTAACTGTACAAGCGGATTATATGGATTTGCTGGTGCATCGTCTGGWAATGAAGGTGAAAATGAAATTTTTTTCAAAGTGCAATTTCACAAAAGTAATCAGAGAGAAGATAGTGAAAAAAAATGAAAAAAAAAACTTTTGAAAACTTTTCTTATTTAATATATGGGTTTAACTTTAACATGAATGCGAACTTGAAATACTTGCAGATAGTCAATGAGTTGAGTCAATTCGAAAATCTTTGTAAAACCACACGCGATAATTTGCGCGCAGCAACAATTGCACGTGACAAGGAGGTTTTGAAGCAACAACAATTAATGGAAATCAAATCTAAATTTACTGCAAATAATGTTAGTAACAAAAAAGTATAATATTAATCCAAAAATACATATTCAGATGCCTTTATATTGTTGTAATATTTACCTTACTAGACGGCTGCTGATTCGGAGTTGTTGAAAGCTAAATTGGAAGTGAACCGCTCCAACAAAGAAATAGATGAGATTATCAATACCTTTGAAAAACGGAAACTGTCAGAGATACGGTCTTTACTAACCGATTTTATACTAATCAGTCTCAAATATCATACGAAGACTTTGGAAGTGCTTTCGGCCAGTTATTATGATGTCTCGAATATTGATGAAAATGGTGATTTTAATGAATTTCAAAAATTAATGAAAACTAAAGGCGAACCTACTGGACGAAAGCAGACCCTAAAGAAGGGAATGCGGTCACAATCGATGGACAGCTTAGATCACGATACACTTTTGAGTCCCTTAAAACATACTAAAAAAATTTCGCGTAGCAATAAAAGTTTAACGAGCAAAACTGATGATGAGCGCGTCAACACGAGAGATGACGATGAAGATGAGGATGATGATGATGATGAGGTATATTAGTTAACTTTAGTAAATGTAATAATTTGTACTATGTATATTATAATTTTTTGTAGGAGGATTTAGAGGCATCCGGTGATAATACAAATGACGAGGAGGAGAACTCGGGTACAGCCTCCGATGATGATGAGCCCACAGAGAGTATTTCTGCTGCGAAAATAACAACGCTTGCAAATAAAATGAATGAGAAAAAAAYCAAGGAACAAACAAAACAGCCATTTCGCGCTATCTCCTCGGCGCACGTAAGAACGCAACGACAATTGCATGGAAAATCCAATTAGTTTTGAGCTGTATTGGAATTGAGTAGATTACTTAGATTTTTAATTGAAAAAATTTCAATTGGTTGCTTCTAGTACAATATGCATGCATGTACAAAAGAGAACAGTTTAACCTATTTTAACATCAAAGGATAACATTTTTAGTACATATATAAAATAATTAATTTTACCTTTCGATCAGGTCGGCAAGTCACAAAGTCAACACAAGCCTTTCGCTGCTAAAAGTGGCGTTGGCATACCAACMTTACAAAAACGTGCATCAGCACCACATTTTGGCGTTAAGGAACATCARCTTAAAGGTAACGATAGTAATGTGACAATGACACTGGAAGGTCCAAGTAGTCGCTTAGTGACAATTGTTGAATCGAAGAAATGAATACACAAAAATTTATTAATAATTAATGTAAGGCAACCAATCCATATTGATTATACAACCAAGACATGTTTATACCGACATTTTATATRTATGTCTAGCCTTAATAAACACTTCCGCATAATTACGTTTGACTAAATGTTGTTGTTCTTACTGCTGCAGTTTCGWCTACATATCTTCATATATAGTGAGRTACTCCATTGTGTTTGTTAGGTTTAAATTAATGCTTTTATTATTCCAAGTTTTCCAAAGACCAATGAAATTTTAAACTATTCAAAGTGAACTAATTTCAGATATACAATGAGAATTAACTAAATTCTAACTTGTTACAGCACATTTCTGATGTTAACATGGCCAATAATGGTTTTCATTTGATTTGTAACAAAAATTTTAAAATCTTACCTTATATATTATTATTATTTTTTCATTTACTTATTTAAGATAATGAACTTAATAAAACGTTTTGTGTTTTGTTTAGCCAATTCTTATCAGCATTGAATGTTGCTTTTCGTGCGTATTTGTGGAGATCGACTTCAATGCGGTGTATATGTATGTATGTGCATTAATACATGGTTTGGTTTGGAATACATATAAATATTTGTGTTCCAGTGACAAATTGTAAATTAATGAGCAATGTTTAAGTGTACCCTTCATGGACAGATGTATATCTATGCTAACATGCCGCACCAAAATTTGTATGTTTTACTTTTCTGGACCTTCAACGCCAGCTTGATTCATCAAATCCGCAATGCTTTTCTCCAAATCATCTATTCTATTGCCCATATCATCGATGCGTGTGATTATTTGATCCGACATTGTTTGGAATTTGTCTTGTACATTTTGTAGCAGGTTTTGTACCTAAAATGGAAATTTAAGATAAGAAATTGTTATTTCATTTGCTCAGATGGTAATATAATGTATACATTTTCCTAGTTGTAGCAACGTTGGCGTTGTTGCTAASAGATTTGTGTATATTAGCAAAAAATGGGAGTGGCGGTTATCCTATACAAAGCATTCATGCAAATTATAATACGCGCTTCAAACACTTTAAGAATAATTTGTATAATGTATATGATTCAACACTATTATTAATAAATTAATGTCGATTACTCACATATATTGTCAATTCCTGCATATTTTTCGGATCTGCATTACTGCTCAAGGAGTAATTTTGATCCAAATCGCTATCAACGTCATTCTTAAGATCTGCCATTGTTGCTGTTTACACTAATTTTAATTGCGGTTTATTTTGTTTGTTAACTTTTTCTATAAAAGTATAAAAATAACTTAATATTTTGCAACTTTCCGCTCTAGGAAACCAGACACAACAAAATTTTAACTGAAAATGACAGTTGAGCAGCTGACAGTAGGCTTATATTCTTTGTTGTTATTATGGTTGCCAAGGTTTTTGGCACAGGGTATTTGCAATGCTTTGAAATATTTGGAATAATGCAGCGGTGTTGTATGGAGTATATTACATTGTAAAACATAATAAAAATTATTATAATAATGTAATGTTAAAAGTATTTATTTACATTAATATATTATATTTTTATTTTCATTCAAAATATTATTTTTTCTTTAACTACCTTAAAGCCAATAGCGTCTTTATAGTTGTAAATTTGGTTGCTAAGCCMGAGAATGTATAGATTGAATGTTTAGATGCACCGCTGTGCTGATAGTGTTATATACAATTAGTACATCYTGAACATGTTTCCGAGCGCATGTTTGTATACATTTTTAATTAAAATGAATTGGTGTCATTGAACTCTGTTTCCTTGTGATTTTGTTAGATTTAAGATTTACAAAAATATTTATATTACGTTGTCAAATATCTCYCTTCCGCCTTTTTGTTTTTTGAATTTCGCGGCTATGTATAAATCGTTACAGAGCTCGTATCTGGTAATACTATACATCTTTGGAAAGGTCTTGACATAACCTACAAAAGGACGCTATGCATGATTAGTTTGGCTATTGCGTCCAACAGTTATARAAGTGTAAACATGAAGTTCACTAACGCCGAAATTCGCGCTATTTTAAAGTTTTCCTGCGATAAGGGCAAATCCGCCAGAGAAACGTTCAGTGAGATTAATGGTGCTTTGGGGGATGATACTCTATCACTTCGAACTACGGAGGCATGGAATCAAAGCCTGCGATATGCTGCCGAAACGGAACGAACTCGACTCATTTTTGAAGSGTATGGTGACTGGCGATGATAAAAGGATCACATACGACAATATCAAGCGAAAACGGTCTTTGTGGGAGGCCGGTGAATCGTTCCAAACAGTGGCTAAGCCGGGATTGATAGACAGGAAGGTTTTGCTGTATGTTTGGTGGAATTGGAAGGGAATCATCCCCTATGAGCTRCTTCCATATAGCCAGAGGCTTAATTCTACCATCTAYTGCGAACAACTGAACCGCTTGAGGCAGGTGATCGACCARAAGCGTCCARARTTGGCCATCAGGAAGGGAGTAGTGTTCCACCAGGATAACGCCATAAATAAAGACTAAATCTGATTACTGTAACACTTTTTATAAAGCATTGAATAAAGAGCAAAAAGGCGGAAGGGAGACAACCTAATATTAGGATACAAGTAGATATATACATATATAGATTTTTTATATATATACACAATTAATTTTTATCGATTGAGTGATCACAAAATTTCAAGCGTATTGCCTTTCTATTGCAGTACTCCAGATAAATAGCCCAATTAGGCATCATAAATCCAAAACATTTGTTTAAGTGGCACTTTCGAATTGTTCACACACAAATTCCTTTTAAACATGCAGCGCCCAGAAATATGAGGTTAGATGCTTCATTTGTCTACAGCCCAACAGCCTTTATCATAACAAACAGCTGATTTATGATTCCCTAATAGCTAGGCACTTGGCAAAAAGGTTTGACACCTTTGAGTATGCACGTGCCCATGTTCGTGTTATGTGAGCCGATTCAATGATTGGGCGGGGTTTCTCACCTATTTTTGTGTAACGATGTATGTACATACATACATACTTACATACATCTGTTAGCTATCGCATTTTTTCAACTTAATCCAATGTTATTTATAACGACAACACATTCTACATACATACATACTTATGTATTTAACCAAGTGTAGAATCTGTTGTGCGAATTGAAAGGATACGAGATCMTTCCATTTGAACTTGTTCCAAGAAAACTTATTTAATTTAATTTTTCCATAATAAAAATATTTTTACTGTGTTATATTGTACGAGAGATAAATAATTCTTTCTTATTTTTTTCCTTTGAATTTAAATTAATTTTTTTAGGTCGGAAGCTAACTAGATTTTTGCTGTGTAGATTAGTATAATACGGCTGTTTAAGCTGACGTTGAGCAATACCAAAAGCTCCGTCATTATCGGAAAGGATCTATCCGAGCCGTTCGATACCAAACTAGGTTTCAGACAAGGCGATTCCCTATTGAGTGACTTCTTTAGAGCTGAATAGAGAAGGCATAATCTTCTATAAAAGCGTACAGCTGGCTTCAACACCCGTGACATTAGCTCTGCTTTCTCCAAACCGGAGAAAGAAGCGAAGCAAATGGCTTTGGTAGTGAAAAAGGGCAATACGAAATATCTGATGGCATCAAACAAACAGTCGCCGCACTAGCGGCTAACAGGTGCTACTTCGGACTGAGTAGGCAATTGAGAAGTAAAGTCCTCTTTCGACGAACAAAGATCAAACTCTATAAGTCACTCATCAACTCCGTTCTGCTATATGGTGCAAAAGCATAAACAACATCTGATGAGTCGGTGTGCCGAGATTTCAAGATAAAGGTTCTGCGGAAAATTTTGGGTTCTCTGCGCATTGGCAATGTCGAATATGAGGGATGAGGTGTATGAGTTGTACGACGACATTGTCATAGCAACGGCTACGCCGGCTAGGTCATATCATTCGAATCTATAAAATACTCCAGCTTTGCGCCATGGGAAGCAGAGAAGGAAAATCTCCATTCCGTTGGATAGACCAGGTGAAGAAGAACCTATACTTGGAATTTCCAATTGGCGTCAAATAGCGAAAAGGAAGAACGGTGCGCGCTGGTGTAAACTCGGCTATAACCGCGTAAGCGATGTCTACGCCAAAAAAGAAGAGGATAAGATTCCTATACACTTGTAGAAAATGTAAGCATTGATCACTCGCAGTGCCTGACCAGTGCTTACTCTGAACATAACATGTACGCTCGTGCAACTAGTTGCGCTATCGTATCATATCCCTCCTAAAATAATTTGCTACTAATTTCTTTCACTGCAGGGTTGTTGTGTGCGCATATGTGTATGCAGGTCGGCTTTCAGGTCAAAGGTGTTAATGCGAGTAGTTGTAAACTCGCACTTAGACGACGCAAAACACATCACGCCCTTTAACTTAAATATCAGATTAGTGTTGTCTCATTACAAATGAATGCCATTTCGCCTTTATTTATTGTATTTGGAGCATGAAGGTGTATGAATATACATATGTAGGTACATGTATAGTCTACACTGTAGACCGTTGTGTAMAGCAATACGGGTGGACCAAAATTAATGAGTGCCGGTGCTTTGCTAGACGGTTAATCTTGTTGCAACAAATATCAAAGACAAATATTAAAAATAAAAATATAAATAACAGTTCCCGTAAAGTAAATCTCATATAATCAGAGCTGAAATTTAAATGGTTTGTACTGAAATATATTAATAAGCTTAGAGGGAATATAAATTATATACAATATGTACAACTTGGTTTGATGCTATCAACTCCTAGGTCTCGTTGCCAATTTACAGCGGTCTAAAGTTTACTTGGTTTTATCAGGAAAGCAAGAATCGTACTCTTCAATCCCCATTTGAGGAATAGTGCGATATAATAATTGGCCGAATAAATAAATATTAATATATAACACATCGAATTTTCACATGTCATGAGACCTGTTCCAATATACGAACATTAAGATCTTTTAGAATAATATATTGGAAGTAGATCTGTCTATAAATTCCAGACAAGTTGGTCTATACTTGAAAATCTATGGAAGCTCATTTCATGACAGATGACGGCATACCTTTAGGAAGCTAGAATCAATCACATCTTCGATATCCTAAACAAAGAAGATGATCTTAAGGATTGGAAATATGCAGTAGGTACCGTAAAATGCTTATTGAAACTTCTATGAATAAACTCACATWTATGTAAATCARCTTCAAAGTCCTGTCGATCCATGCATGTCCCTAAAGTATTCTATCTCACGTTTATCCGTCAATCAGCTCTTGGTGTGTGTTATTTTTAGCGACYTGCGTATTGTGAATTGGTCCAGTTGTCAAGCGAATGTCACTTTTGGCAATTTCAGCAGCTTTTTGGTTTTCGGGACACCCTTGTGGCCTGAATCCCAGTGTATATGCAGCTGCTTTCCAGCAGCCCATGCAGCTGAATGCCAACTGGTTCTATAAAAAAAGCAGGCACCGTGCATGGTCAGCGCTTAGGAGACGAGGAGATGTGAATTGAAAGTCAAGAGGTGACTTCAAGAGCCAGCTGGCTCTATTTAAGTAAAGCAGGCACCGTGTCTGGCCAATATTTGGGTGACGTTCACGCTGTGAAATGAAGTGATTATGTGACACTCACCCCGCGAAGTGAAGATATTTGAAAGCCACGRGGTGACTTCAAGAGCAGCTGGCTGCTAGCTGGTTCTMTATAAGTAATGTCGGCACCGTGCCTGGCCACTGGTTAGGTGACTCTCGCGCCTGGATATTATTTGATGTGAAAATCAAAATGTATAATAGTAAGAAAGAAATGTGTCGTATTGTGTAGTAATGTTTCTTAATTTCAACTGAGAAGCGATGGATTCGACTTATTTCGTAAAAAGACAAACGACATGTGGAAGTTTAGCTCCAAAATGGTGATGAAAATGAGTGCACCAAAAAGTGCACTGACTCCGTCGCTCTGCGGGAGGTGTCCTTGTCCTMGTCCTCGTTATGTCTCAGAAGTTTCCAAAACGGGATCTTCTACCTCTTTGTAAATAGTACCATATATGTCTCACCGAAATTTACCGCTTTGGTAATCGATATCACCCATTAGTGTATGACTTTATAGCGTTATTCAGAGATTAACTATTTCTGAAATGATTTTCACATTTATACTTATACAATCAGTCACATGTCCCAGGTGTTGATGTTGTTTTTCAAAAAGTTTCTGTTTTTAACATTTTCCCTTATTAAAGTCATTAATACGCCGCTACCAATACCTCAGCTGATATTCACATATACATGTGCAGCTACGATGGGAAAATTGCAGTTTTATTGCTCAAAAATACGCTGCATTTAATTTTAATTGGAAGTTAGTCACCGCAGGAAA